GATCTTGCCTGATGAATAACTAGCTCATCTTGTTTATGCAGACGATATTGTACCGCTTTTTAACGATGTTGGGACGGAGCAATCAACCCTGAATAGCCTCTCTGGAGTGGTTCCAGGATTTTGCATGTGCATTGTACCTTCAAACAGTAAAGTGTTGCTGCATAAGCACCAGCCACTTGATGACCGCGTGCTCATTGATGGCAAGAAACTCGAGGTAGTTGATCAATTCACTTACCTTAACAGCAGTATCAGCAATAATGGGCGCATGGCAACGGAAGTCAGTGCACACATCGCAAAATCCAGAACTGTCTTTTTGAATCTGCAACATCTATGGCGTCAGAAAGGGGTATGCTTCCGTCTGAAAGGCTGTGTTCACAATTCACAGTGAGGGTCGTCTTACTTTCCGGAAGCGAGACTTGATCCCTGCGGTCTGAGGACCTGCCGCGGCTTCAAGTCTTTGCTCATCGTTGTTTGCCATTTCTGTGTCGGATGGCACCAGCGTGTCCGCAACGATGATATGCGTAAACGGGTACTAGGCAGTGATAACCAGGCTAATTCCTTAGATCAACGGATAGAACTGAATAAGTTGCTTTGGCTTGAGCACGTACTACCTATGGCTGGTCATCGCTTACCTAGGAGGTCCTTATCTTGTTTGCCGGATGTAGGCTGGCGCAAACTCAAGGGGGGGGGCAACAATTAACTTAACAGTGTGAAATGAAGTTACTGACGACCAAAGTGGGTGCCGTTGATCCGTCTTGCTATCCAGGCTGGCGTCCACGTGACCCGCCTTGTGCTTGGGTCGAGACGTTACAGCACGGCTCTCAGTCGACACCAGTGGTGTGTCTGCTGTCGTCTCCTAGTCAGATTGCCTCTTTAAAGTGTGTATTATGCTGAGTTATCTGCGGAGTAATGGCTGATTATGAATCGGGGCAGTGAAAGCCGCAAGGAAGCTGTCTCGTCGATGCCGCCTTCTCTCTGCACGATAGCCAGAGGTTTGTGCCGATAGGTGTTGACTAAGTGTACTCGTCTTGACCCCAAATATTTTTTGCGTTATCAAGGTTTTACCGTAGGTCCCCCTACTATCCTTCTTATTGTTGTTCGTTCCGTAAGTCAGCGTGATTGTACGGCAGCGAAACATCAGTTCAGCTGGCTGATGCACTGCTGCTGCTGCTGCTACTGCTGATGATGATGCCAATAATAATAATAATAATAATAATAATAATAATAATGACTACACTTTGTTTCTGAAGCAGGACGCATCTCCCCGGACTAAGTTAAACAAACTGCCTATACCAGATGCCTTGACGAAACAATGTATCTTGCTTCGCCAGTGTACGTGAAGGGTAAGCTTTTGCTCTTGAAAAGACAGCGTCAGCAATGTTGCAATTACTACTAGGCTGAGTTCTATAGCCACGTGCGTGATTCCTGTAGAGAGGTCAGCTTACGTGAAATATCCTGGTTTGTCTAGCAGAAAGATGCCCACTTAGACAACAGTGCTGAGAAGCAGCTATCAAGAGAGCAGTAGAACCGAATCCTACCCAATAATCAGCAAGTGATGTCCTGAACATGCACTCATCATGTATACTGAATACTGCAAATGGAGAGCAAAAGTTAAAAATCTGTGTTGCTCCATCATAGGTGGATCGTGCGCATGCGTGGAATCACGTCGCTGATTCCTACGCGGTGTCCGCATTTCGCAGCTTTATTACATATTATCTGGGTGCGAGACGCTCCCTATATCTGTAGTCCGAAAAGTGGGCATCAAGCAAGCTCTTAAATTCCGACACCGATTTCGTCTCGACTAGCTTCTCCGGCAGTTTGTCAAATATTTCACCATTTGACGCTCGAAGCATTGAGGGTGCGCAGTGTGATTTAATTCCGATACCATTAGTTTGTACCGGTGGCCGTGTGTGCTACTTGGTGCGCGAACTTGCAGCAGCGGCTTCAACAAAAGCAAGTGGCGCAGGTGCAGAATCCGGTGCGTCGTAAGGAGGTCAACTCGAAGCCGACGATTTGGGAAAATATGAAGCCTTAGTTACCTATATCGGATCAGCCGGCTAGTTGCATGCTGAACCAGTTCCTGTCTCTGCGCCTCACCTATTGTGATCGGACTATAGATGGATGAGCCGTACACAAGCACCGAGAACAGATGGGTGGCAATCTCTGCAGAACAAGTGCAAAAGCTGCGCCTAAGTACCCAAATCAGGCGTAGTCCGTTTGCGTACAGGCTGTTTGTGTTGAAGACAGACTTCCCTTCGAAACGTGATAGTACTCCTAGATGCTTTACGGAACTGGTGGGATGCAGCGGGTGGCCGGCCAAAGTGTACGAACGCCCATTACCATCCTTCCCCAGGCTAATAACTGAGGACTTGGCCGTGTTGACCGGTAGGCCAACTTCTGCACACCACCGGGATAGGCGGTCGACGTCCTGCTGAAGGACTTAACAGTCCCCAGTCAAATCAATAATCCTCCAGCTCTTCCGGTCATCCGCAAATAATGCGCAGCGCGACCCAAGAAGCTGTGGTAGTTAGTTGATGTGCACCATGAATAAAATGGGCCCCAGTACTGTGCCTTGGGATACACCGCTAGTGGACGGGTAACAGTCCGTTAGGTGGTCATCCAGCTGTACCCACCATCTAGTCCCAGTAAGGAACTCACTGACCCACTGGTGCAGTGCCCCACCAAAACCACACATCGTCAGCTTGTCAAGGAGGATCTCATTGTCCACTTCATTGAAAGCTTTACTGACATCAAAGTAGATAGCATCTACTGATTTCCCCTGGTTCAATGCTTGCAACCTCTTCTGACTTGTCAACAGGAGATTGGGGATGCACGAGCGGCCATTCATTAAGCTGTGTTGTAGCGGCGTTTGGAGATCATTCGACTCCAGCAGCTGGAGATGACCATATTTTTACAATCTTCTCTAGCACCTTCGTCGAAATATAGGTGAGACAAATCGGCCGGTAATTATCCACATTGCGTGGCTCATCGTCTATTAAAATCAGCTACACTACCGAATATTTCCAGTCACCCCGCAACGCACCTTCCGATAATCATTTGGTAAACAGATCCGTTGCAGCAGGCGAGATGATGGCCGATACGGACTTTAGAATTACCGGGTGAAGTCCATGGGGTCCGGGAGCTTTCGTGCCGTCAAGAATGACGAGTAGACTGCAGACATCTTCTACATCTCAATCAAAGATCTCGAGTTCAGTAGGAGCGGTACACGTAGATCTCCGCATAGACGCATGCCCACTTGTATATACGGAAACGGAGTGCTCCGACAATGCTGACACTTTTTCAGTGCTGGAGGTCAGAGGCTGTCCGTCAGTGCCCATTAACACGGCTATGTCACTTGCGGGCCTCAGGCGCCGTTTCACGTAAACAAAAAGCTTCTTGGAGCCCGTCTTCGCTGTGGTTGCAGGCTTGTCTTCAAACTAAGGAAGCTTTCGCGTTTTGGCGCTGTTGTATAACTTCCGCTGCCTTTTGTGCGCCTCGTAATTGTCGGAAGAGCTAGAAACGAGGAATTTATTCCACCATACACGTCGTCGTCTAGCAAATAGGCCATACACTCTGTCGATCCAATGTGGCTTCACCGGCCCAGTTTTCCGAAATTGAGGGGGACAAAATGAGCGCACAACGATCGTTTAAAACAAACCAACAGGCGTCAACCGATGAAACCTGCGGTAGCGATCAGTCCACTTCAGTGGTAGATTTATTTAAACCATTGAAATCGGTCTTCCATTAATTGTAGGACGACTCCGGCTGAGGCGATTAGTGTTAACCAGCTCTAGGCTGGCTAACACCATCCAGTGGTCACTAGCTGCCAGATGCTACAGGAGTTGAATTTCATGTACACGTTGCTCGCAGCTCGTTTGTAGTAGGTCCAAGCTCGACGGAGCGGAATACGGTGTACAGCAGGTCGGTTGGCAGGCATATTGTGCTTCCCCAGTTTCAAATAACAGCTCCGCAAACTGTGCCGCAATTTCACAGTGCCCGGAGAAAAGTTGAACATCAGGCCACCGGAGTAGAGCAAAATTAAAATCACCAATAAGCAGGAAGCGTGGTCGACTCATGTAGTTTCTGACATGCGGCGACTAATCCAGGCATCGACTTTGCAGGATGCGACAAGTGGCACCGGCAAACGGATCACGCTATCTCAGGCGGATCGAGCACCATAACAATAGGCGTGTACCAGTCTCACGCACAGAGAGGACCGAATGTATAACATCACGCCGCCTCGATCGTTTGGTAGTCTGTCGCACCAGAAGCACGAGTAGTCACTGATCTGCGCTTCCTGTGTAGTGCTCTCAGGAGCTAATCAGGTTTCGGCCAGTCCTAATAAGTCCGGACGATATGAGGCAACGAAGTAAAATACATCGTTACGTTTGTTCATTAAACTACAAATTTTTGTAAAGGCTATGTGCAGGCCGTGGTAGGAACCGGCAGCTGTGCATTAAGCGTCATCGATCTGTTAATCCGGGTTCGGCAGACCCGGGGAACTACCAGAAAATTTACGATGTGGAGATTGGTTTCTCCACTATCCTTCGGCCGCTTCAACTCCACGACAGCGGACTTTAGTTTCTCTATGTCCGACAGATCCAACTCGGGAGGAATATGGATCATTAGACCTCTTAGGCGGGATAGTATCAGCCTCGGACTAGTTGCATCAACAAATGTGACTCCCAGTGGCCGAGATTTCCCTTCCTCTACCTCATGAGTCGTAGGACAAATGCAGAAAGCGCTTAACAATTGATGGAACCAGGGATATTCTTTACCATCAGATTAAAATTACTACGAAAGGTAAATGTTCCCGGATTTTCGAGCTGAACACTGAGTATGTAAAAGCCAATACGGCGATACTACATCTGTGACATCCTGACCGAACACAGTTAAGTGGGTGACATTAACTCGATACTTCGCCTCTATACATATGGATTATTTTGTGTCCATTTTCCTTCCATTGCATGTTTGAAGTAATCTGTTGCCATAGTTACTCCATGGTGGCGTGTGCACGTGGCTGTACAGCCACTGATTATTTCGGTGCGACCAATCGACGATGGAGTAAACAAGATTATTTATATTACGCAAAAGTGTCTCACCGTTTTCCTCAGGTCGGCCACAGAATTGCTCATAAACACGGTTTCGTGGTCGAACAACCAGAGACCTTGCAGTCATATATTGACCCAATGAAAACAAACACATACAAGCGACTCACGGAGAGGCAAATCCGAAATCGACTGTCCAAATTGAGCACAGATGAACAGGTGGGTTATATTAGCCCCCAGTTTCATGGTGTTTCAAGCACCTACGATGCATTTGCTTTGAGTTTATTTTATACAGAATCTACTATACCTATTGATTCATTAAAACAGCCATTCTATTGAATCTCATAAGCAAAGCACACTTTCACTATTCGCTGAAAGTCAGACGATGTTAAGCCGGGTCAAAACATTCGTTGCGCAGAAGAAGGGCCTTGCATTGAGAGAGGTCCTGGAGTATAATACCGTACTTGCGGTGGACGGGCCATGAGCTCGAGCTCCTAGTCGGCGGTGAGAATGCGAACCAAAACCACAAACTCTTGTACTGTGATTTTCCGGTTGTTCGTGTTTACGTGGATGCGTCCAGTTTTCTTAAATACCTTTGACACATCAATCATCCCACTGCATAGAATTGCGTTAGAGAGAACATTCGTATTCTAAAATACGATACTGCACCATTATACCATTGCATGTCGTGCTTTTACGGCGAGGTGAAAATACTTATAACCTTCATACACACAAGAGACTGACCTGTCTACTACTAATAATCCATGGTTTATTTCGGTTCCTAAGCTAAACAATGGTAGAATAAGCGGTAAAGTGTTTTGAACAACGTAGTCTTAGTAGTAGTAGTAGTAGTAGTAGTAGTAGTAGTAGTAGTAGTAGTAGTAGTAGTAGTAGCATATTCACAATCTGATTGCAGATATTGTGCCACCTTTAAATAACGTACCTGTTCGGGATTCAGCTCTCACAATCGCTCATTTTCTGATCCCTAGGCGCTCCTTTAAACTCTACTACTGACTGTTCCCATGCGGACCTGTTCGACTGTTTATCCCACTTGGTATGACTTCCACCCTCTTGCTCCACCTGGATTGTTAGTGTATGTTAGTGTGAACAGAGGAAACCGGCGGTAACACATTTATCCTGATCCCGACTACATGGGTCAATTGGTCAGCTGTCGCACCGCTGACCTCCACCAAACACTTGATTCTTTATCTCCCGACATCCCCTGAACACTGCTCTACGGGCGTTTAGTGCGTCTACTGTGTTTATACGACTAGCCAGTTGGGTTCCAGTTGTACCTCAGTGTTCACCTCAACCATTTATGCGTAATGAATTTCCCCACCACCGCTTCTACGCTAAACGTATCAATTGTGCATTGAAGCGCAGTCACAGCTGCTGCTATCCCGGTCGTATTGAAAGCGTGCACTAGTGATCGGGTATTGGTATCATTCTATTTGTTGAGTGTTCATCATAACATTGTTTATGTATTTCCGGCTTTGCTTCATGACTTGATTTCTGCAGCCATTTGTCTTGCAACGATTCCAATCAAATTCTATCGCATACACTAAGGAGTAGAGGCGCATCTGCCTGTCCTTAGGATATCACTGGCTGTCTACAAGGATACTATTAACCTCGTGACGCTGCTTCCCTTGTCGTATTCTGTCATGCGCGGTGAGCTAGCGTATCTTCGCACACGGCCGGGATTACCGATCTACTAGTGCAAACTATTGCAGCAACTGTAGGAGTGAATGTGAGTTATCGCATTCCTAACAATTGTTCCCGCTTGATATTCTAAGCCTGACCTCACTTGCAGCGAAGGCTGACGACCTCCCGATGCCTAAACTTAGAGGAGCTTGTTCCTGATTTTTGTGAGACGCATGATGTTGGTTCTTATAGGTACCTAAGGATTACATCGCTATTGTAACTTTTAACTGAATACGCGCTGGATTTGAATCAAGCTGAACTCCCAGCCACCTTCCCTTTTTTTATTCTATATTTGTAGCACTGCATACCCGAGTATGTATAGATGGAGCTGTGATGCTGAACAAAGCATTCTCCACAGCTGAAAGCACTCTGGGACTGCGAACAAATCGACAGACAGCTATAAAAACAGATTTGGCCAGGTACTGCTGCAGTGTTATTCGATGAGTGCGCTTGATAAATAAGTCAAAATTTTACGCCTTCTCATCAGAGTAAAGAAAACAATACAGGGTAGCCAAAAACAAGCGGAATGATGCGATTATGCACAGGCTGATGCGGCTCCTTAAGGCATTTGTAATCTACCACCCGACCGGTGGCTGGTGGAACCAGTGTACAGAATTCATCCTTGTTGGGCTTTTGGAATGTTTCTTGGATGAATAGGTTAGGAGATTTGATCCCAATTTAAATCGCTTCGAGCTCCGTGACCACATCTAGAAAGGATATCGGTTGGGTTTTACTGTTTCTCAATGACAACCCTGCGTGACCGCCATGGGCTTTTGTTGCAACGGCACAGCGCTGAAGTAGGTTACAGTAAAACGGCTTCATACGAACGATATAACCATTCCAAGGGAACAATGGAATTGTTTCGGCACTGTGCATGAAGGTTTCAATTGTACGGATGATGGATAACTAATAGAGAAACCAACATAAGATTGTTGTCGAGTGCGTGCGGCTTTTACACGTTGTTTCACAGAAGCAAGTAATTTGGCATATGCAAAGTGATTTGGTGTTCATAAAAAAGTTATCCTTTGCTTGTGTAAGCAGTGACGATATGGAAGTGTTTACATCACTAGTTTTGCCATGAAATAGCTGCATTGGACACCTTTGATCCATCAGCCGATAAGTTGAATTGTGGTGTTGCACTTGGTGGTCAGTTTATCGGCTTGCTTATTCAATTCAGCGAACGGGTTATGATGGCAAATAAAACCGTGGCTCTGTTCTATTAATTGTATTCCTCTGGATCAACCATCTAAATGCTCAGAACCCGATATAGCATATATATAATGTTTTAAGGCGAGGGGCATTTCCAGAACAACGTATTTATAAGGGTTCAGAAGCAATGCTTTACAAGTCCCGCTGGGTTGTATGGTGAGGTTAACAAAAATATAATCGAATTAATCACTTAAGTAGAAAAAGTATACTTATCGTTTGTTTCCTTGTAGTCCCACAAACTGCGTAGTTTCATTGCTCCCACAGCTAACAGCAAATAAATCCAATGTGCATTCCAGGAGTAAGACGGAGACAGTGCCAAGTAACAAAGTCTAAATGGCCGAGTGCGTCATCCAACCATCTTTCAAATATTGTTAGTGTCAGTGCAGAGACAACCAATTCAGTCAGAGTATTCCACGGGTGAAATACACAAATGGAAAAGAAGTTCCTGCGACGCTCTAGGGGACTATACTTTTCTGTGAATTTGGATGAGGGTCCTCTCAGATTTGTATTGCTGCTGGGTTGCAGTGTGGAGCGGCACACAGGATGTGGGTCGTGCAGAATCACGGATGCCATCATCAGATCGTCTGGTATTCCGCGGTGCTTTCTACTGAAAACTCCAATCCTTTCAGCCTCTGCTTGCATGGGAAATTGCACATTCCAATGACGAATTTTGATGTCTCATGTTGATGCTACTCAAGTGTGTTAATGTCCTGTTTCATACATGGACGCCAGGCATGTAGTTTGTATTCAATGCACTGAGCATCTGTCAATAGCTAGAAGTGTCCATTTGTTCGAACGCCCATCTCAACAGCCCGATATGTTCGTTTCCAAGCTTCAGGGTCTTTTCAGATTGCCTAGAGCAACCTAAGTTCTCTTGAACCAGCACTCCCAGATCACATACAATGGAACACAATAGTAGATGTGTTCCAATCCTTTATTTGTAGTTAAGCTGATGTCGTATGGAAAGTACCTTGCAGTCAATTTTGGTTTGACCACCGATGTACCGTGTCTAAGACACTCTGAGGCAAATATTGCTTGGCATTCGACTAACTACTGCGCCACATCGTGATACTGTCGGCAAACAGTAAGAACTTTGAAGCGGTTGCCCGTACGAAATCATAGCTAAAAACCAAAGACAGTCGTGAACTTAGAACTGTGCCCTGGGGCAAGCCACTCTCGACTAGTATGAGGTCAGAGAAAGAACTTTAAACTCTGAACATTACTTGGGCTGAAGAAGGAATTAGGGAAATTGGCTCAGAACAGGGTCAACGATCACGCATACTGGGGCTTGGAGAGGAGTGTCCGAAGGCTTAGACGACGGAATGCTTCCAAAATATTTAAATCGATGACATAAAGGTTCTCTCCAGCCTCAGGTGACTCGGTCCAACTACTTCGTGCCCGGTTAGTAAATTCATTGCGCCCAATCGCTGTCGACGGAAGCCATGCTGCTCGGGAGTAATAATGTCATAATTATATGTATAAAACACCAGCGGATCTGCACTCATGAATTTCTTGACCTTGGAAAGTACAGGATGAAATGATACTAAGTGGTAGTTGGAACGCTCAGTTCTGATTTCGCCTTTGCGATTTGGAGTTATTATTCCAAGCTTCCATATGCAGGAACTTGGTTCTGATCTAGGCGTCGATTGAAAAATCGAGCCAAATGTTCTGCTAGTGGTCTAGCTGCTGCTCCCAGTTGTGCTGAACCAATAACATAGACACCCGGGGAGCTGCGTTTGTGCAGAGACGTCAGCTTCAACGGCTAAAGACCAATGGGTGAGTCCTGGCGGCGGGGAGACAAAGGCCGGGAGATTACTTCATGGCAAGACCCACAGTAACGTGGGGGCATATGGCATCCACAGCGAGTTTGCTGCTTCCATAACCGTTCATATTGGGCCAGCAGCCGTTCCGAGTGTAGAAAATCCATGCTTCACCTTTCGTCTGCCATTGGCGTGCTTGTACAGCAGTTTGTGGTTACCGCTGAAGGTTTGCCATGTCCTACTGATATCCGGTTCTGTCATCTCTGAGCAGTTGAGTGCAGTGTTTACGTTGGACTACACAAATGTCCCAGGTTTCTGGAGTTGCGACTACTCCATACATCCGCCATGATGCGTTGCGTACCGCCACTGGATTTCGAGTTCTGCTGCTGACGATAGTAACTGACTTGGATCCATTGCAAATTCTTGTCACTAAAAAGTCGGTAAGTAGCGGACTAAATTTGTTTCTGAACTCGAGCCAGACAACTTTCGTGGGTTCTTCGACTAGGAAAGACCATATTGTGGGATGATGAGCTGGGCTAATCGATCGTA